ATTTGCATTAAATTCACTCAGTAAGAAGTTTGCTAATGCTCATAATTAAAATGACTGTAACAGTTCCAAATTTAAATGTATTATCGTTTTGTTAAAAGTTAAATATAGTGCATAATATGGAGATCCCGTCATTTATTTTTTCACCGTGTTTTTTTTATTATTTATGTACAGTCTTGCTTAATCTTGCTAAGCATTCAAAAGAGAGAATGTTTGCATCTGTTATCTATATTTTAAAATCGTTTTTTGAGTATGTTCCACTATTCACAATTCTACAAAATGTTTACAGTCTAAGACTGTTTGGATAATAAAAAGCTAAAAGAAAAATTTCACTCCCAAGTGCCCACCAACCTGCATCTCTACCTTAAATATAAATAAATTAAATTAGTACTAATTTCAAACATTGTTCTCGATTTTAATAGACCATAACTTCATGAAATGTGTTTAGCCGAGAAAGAAAATCAATAATCACGTGGTACAGCGACATATCCCACACGTCAGTAATATATTTCTTGGATAATCACAATGTATTGATTAGTTGAATAGTCTCGTAGTAGTTACCTGTGTATCCGGCAATTAGACATATAACTAGAACTATACAAATGAAAACGACCAACTTCGTATACATTGCACGTATACCATTTCGGAAATAACACCATTTCATATCTGTCAATAAATTAAATATAATTGTAAATGTAATTATATTTTAACAAAGGTAATACTAAACGTACTTGCATTCGAAAACATTACATTCGATTTTTTTTGAATACGTAATTGGATATTTTTAATAGTAAAATTGTATTTGATTTTATATTAGTTTTAGAAACAGCACGGACAATTTTGATTTACAGGTATATAAACCCAGAATTTTGATCAGAAAAAACTGCAAAAGGACGCCAGCCACTATGCAATTATGAATACTAAACCTATGTAATGAGAGTTCCCGTGTTACGTGGAATGTTATTGTTTAGATACTAGACCCTGATCTACGGTATGTCGTACTACTTTCGATCGTCTGCTGCCCAGTCTAACACTGCAATGGATCAGGTTATAGAATAGTGTCAATGTCAGTGTGGTCATATCAGGCATGTGTGAATCCAATTCCTGTGTGAAGCAGAGCATGTTCATACAGGTAATATTGTTCCTTCCACTACTTCCACTCTACTGGAATATAGAGTCATTCTGCGATCTAAATTTATATCTGACTTAGTCGAGCTATATTCGATTTGAAGCAACGCCCAAACGTATATACATATGAGTGAGTACTGTACATTTTTTGTACGAAACAGGTCGTGTCCAATGAATATGCTTTAAAAGTCCTCGAATATTCATTAGATTATGTATTAATGCAGTACACTGCTTGCTTGGGCGTTGACATTTCAGAATTTTCTCATACAATTTGCATTCAGAAATTAATGCCAGTGAGCCGTATATGCAAGTTCTTTATATTGATCTAATTATAAATATTCATATTCTAACTCAAATAAACATATAATAAAATAGCCAAAAGCCAAGATGAACTACATTGATTCCCAGGTAGCTCAATTAGCAGGCTGTCTGTCAGATCGAACATTATCTGAACTCTGAGGTCATACCCAGCCTGTGTGTCTTTGTGACACTGGAGTTGTACTGTACTAAGCAATGTTGATGTCACGTGATTTCGTATGAAATTTCTAGGAAAATCGGTAATCAAAGTTTGATTCAAGAACAAGATATTTAGATCATTCAACATCGATCAAATCTGCGTCTGTGTCATCTGACACCAGTACAATGGTATTCATTTCATAGTTTATCTTAGGTTCATTATAACCATGGTGCGGAACTTTATATTTACATTCAATGAAACTAAGTTGTCATTTCCTTGACCAGTTCGTCAGTTTATCTGATTTCAGCATAATTGGGTTACTATTTGGCTAAATATTTTTGCCAAACTATCAACAGATCAAGTAAGTCACTGATGAAAAAAAATAATAAGTAAAAACTCAAGCTTTGGATGGACATATTTTGATGTTCAGGCTGCCTCCAAAAGCAGTGTTAGCGACAGTAAGTATTTTACCCGTTTTCTCAACAAATCACCAAGTTATGCTGTGTAATATGCTGCGATTAGTGAGGTTCATGTTCAATTTCATTTCGAGAAAGTTAACCACCAATTTACGAAACTTGCAGAGTAATCTCAATTCCAATTTTCGAAGCGAACAGGCTAGCAGGACGTCCTATTCTTATACATGTACGGTTGTACATGGCCGTTGTTCATGTATCTGATATACAGTCCTTCACCGACCATCAGGAAATCAGCCAATCAGTTACTGATCCCCCACCCCCGGAGTTTTGAAATATGGGATTTGGAAATCATTCTAATGAAATTTTCAACTTGACTCGTCCCCTGGTGCAGGAAAACAAAATCACAAAACATTAGAGTATTTCGTCTATGGTAGCCTCAACCAGTTCATGTGTTCTATTTTATGTCCAAGATGCGACTAACCTCATTTCATCGTCTGCCCGTCAAATTGCTGGGGGTACCAACATGTACCAACGGGGGGAGGGTCACCTCATTGCGTTGTCTATATAGATCACATTCCGTTGTACCTAACCAATCATGAGTACAACAGGCTGGCGGATACTAAATGGTTGCCCCACCCCGGATCAAATTTCATGTAAAACTCTGCCTAGTGCCCCACTTTGTTTGTCTGGCTGGCTGTATTGCTCAGGTGCCCCTTAGGAGATTACATTAACTGTTGCATTGATAAATTCTCTGGCTACAATTATAATGCTTTAACTAGTGCCAAAAATTATGATTGATGGTTGTCTGTATGTTCCCATGGTTTTAGGAGCTTTGCAGTTTCTGGAAAGTATTGAAGCTGGTGGGCTGATATTAAAAAGTTCTGAGACAGAAGATGTGAATAATTCAGACCCAGGGAGCGTGGCGACTGGCGAAGTTTCAAATGATGCAGCTGGGACGGATACTGAAAGGGTATATGACTCAAATGGTAACCAGGCAAGTGTTTACTACATGTATAAAGAAACCTCCTGAACACATCTGCAAGGTTTACAAGTCAAAGACCGGACTGAGGAAACACTCGAGAAGCATACTGGAAAATATCCTTACTAGTGTCATTGTGGTAAAGGTTTTTCCGAAAGAAGAAAACTTATTGAACATGGCTGTAGCTGTCATGTTATTATTCAAATAATATATATATGAGCTATTACAAGCCAGTAACATTACTTTGTGATCGAGGCTATTGTTACGCAATATCTGTGATGTCATTATAGCATGTGTATTATTAATAAAATAGCTGTTCACCATCTTCTAAGATTCGCCTGATGCTTACTTTGCGACATGGTGTCAGAAGCGGGATCCATCTAAGCCATCGATTTGAATGGAATCAAGATATCAACTCAAAGAAGTACCAAGAAACATTGATGAGAAATCCTGCATAATTATTTTACCCGAAGAAAGATCAGAACGATCAGAAAATGTTGCACATAAAGCCACCAGAACCACTGGATTTTTCGAGGCCACAGGCATGGGCAGAATGGAAACAAAGATTCGCCAGGTACTGACTAGCGTCAAAACCGACTAAGGACGACACAGAAATTCAAGTAAATTCACTCGTTTACATAATGGGTCCTGAAAGTGAACATATTTTATCCCAGTTTCGTTCAACTGAAGAGCAGGTGCATAGTGCCTGAAGGTCAGGCCATGGTGTTAGGCTTAGTCAATCTGGGTA